TATATATTCATCATATTCATATTCGTTCCTCATCGTAGTAAATGTTAAAGAAAAATTAAAAGAGATACATTGAGATATCCAACTAAAAGAGACTCATTAATAAAAATTTTAACATGGTCCGGAACGCTCCTTGTAATTCTTCGTCCTCGAATGCCTCATCTCCTTCATCCGGAAATTTGTTTAAATCAAATTCATAATCAGCCGCATTCAAATCAAAATTGTGATAGACACTTTTAATTGAATCTTTTAACATTCAAATCAAATTATCTTCAAATTTATACAAACATTAGCAGATTTTAGTAAATTACCTTCAAATTTTATTTTTGCGGTGGATTGCCGCATATTGGCACAATAACTTTGGCGAAGCTTTTCTTCTATTTATAGAGATAGGCAAAGCTGTGTGAGTTTAATGAGGAAAAAGTGGGTAGATATGGATTAGTTGGGTCATAATAACAGAAATTGAGCTTTTTTATAAAATACAAAAGTTTAGGGTAATTTTTAAAAAAATTTACAAACCAAACGGTAATATTTTGAGCCAAACAAGAGCTGGTTTTGGGATTTGAAAATTAGCCAAAATATGGATAAAAATCTATAAACAAACACGTATTTGCCCAATAAAAATTAGAAAAAATTTGACAAAATCTATAGCCAAACGGGGACTAAAAAGTCAACTACAAGTATTTATAAAAAAATCATGATTATTGTAATAATATATATATATATATATATATAAATAACTTATTGTAATTGGCTAATCTTCACCTATAGGGTAAATAATTGTTATAGCAAAATTGTTATAGAAGGACAAATCTTTTTTTCTCCTTTCGATTACATTGAATATTTTCACGAGAATTAATAACATAAATTATTTTTATTAAAAATGTTACAGCCTACATAAATTACATTTAATTGTGAAAATCTTTACATTAACCTCTAAAATTATGTTACTTAATTTATGCCTCAAAGACTGTGGGGGACGAGGCGGCCAGATCCCTTACCTCTGTCTCAAACAAACAATCAAGCATAAATTTTCTCTCCCTAGTCTTCTGGGTTTTGTACAAGTCTCCACAATAACTAGGTAGAGGAAAACAAAAATACCAAAATCCAAGTCTGCCTATATTTATGGATTCCAATAATAATAATAATCAAGATTTACCAGAAGCCACAGTGCAAAACGTGCTAGAGCAAGATACACTGAAGTGGGTATTTGTAGGGGGTAAAGGTGGGGTTGGAAAAACTACATGTAGTTCAATTCTTGGTATCCTTCTTTCTCAGGTCAGATCCTCAGTTCTCCTTATATCTACTGACCCTGCTCACAATCTCAGTGATGCCTTCCAACAACGCTTTACCAAGTCTCCTACCCTTGTCAATGGCTTCTCCAATTTGTATGCCATGGTATTTTCTTTTTTGACACCCCTTTTCCTTTAAAGCTCAAATTTTTATTTGGATCTTGTTTGCTTCTTCTTGGAATTAATTAATTGTATCACTTGTGAGTTTGGTGCTCTTGGTATTGTGGGTTAATAGTTGTTACAGAAAAAAATGACACCCTTATTGTTTAGGGAATGAAACAGGTACTACACTTTTGTTATACTTATGCTTAATAACAAAAACTGTGTCTTTCCTTCATGTATGAATTGAGAAATTTAAGGAATTCATTATGAACTGAGACAAAAACAAAGGTTAGAACTTTAATACTCCGAACTATTTTTTTTGTTTTTGTGTGTGTGTGGGGGGGTGGGGGGTTTGGGA